GTTCCTTCGCTCGCTGGCGGGAAGGGCCCGTCCGGTCGGGGCTGGCGCTCTGAGGCGGGTTCCGCCTTCACGCCTGGGCTGCCGCCGCCCGCCGCCCGCCGCCGCCTCCGACAGGCCTCGGCCGCGTTGGTCCTTCTCGGGGCTGCGTGCCGCCCTCGGGTGGCGGAACAGGCTCTCGCGAGGAAGCCCTCCTGGCCAGTGAGGGAACAGTGCGAGCGAGCTCACAGTCTTTTAGGTCAGGAAGGAGGGGCTCCACTGAGCGAACTAATTCATGCAGGAGCCAAATCACCTGCTCACAACTTTAATTCCGGTAGCTCACAAAGTAGGATTTTTGCTCACAGGACTCCATAGCTCAGAGGGACCATCGCTGCTGGCAGTCCGGCGAGCCATATCTTGCGGGAGCATTTTTGTCCTGGCAAAGAAAAAAAATCCCAAAAAAACTGTAAATAGGAGTCATTTCGCAGAAAAAGAGGGGCAGGAGGTCATTAGCATAACTTATTTGCATATGCCGCACCCCTGACATCACCGGAAGTGTGTCAGAAGGCAACACCCACGGCTCAGGCTCCACGGGACTGTTTTGGATTGCTAGCTATTGGGGGGGGGGGACAAGCAGATCTGTCCTGGCAGAGGAGGGAGAGCTGGTACCTGAATAAAACTTGGTCTTAAGGGTGCCACTGGACTGTTTTGGAAATGACCCTGACTGTAAACAATGCAAACGAGCGTTTATAATCTGCATAACAATCCAAGTGCATAATGATGGGAATGAGAAAATATTTCACAGTCTCTTCTGTGTAATTCTAGATGTGGACAGATCCCTAGATGAAAACAGATGACAGAAACTTCCTTTCCTAAGAAGAACGTCTTCCAAACATGAAGATATCCTTCATGAAATGTATCGCATTTATTGTATGTATAAAATTTATTGTATTTTTTTAATTGTACTCCTTGGTATATTGTTTATATATATGACTGTAGAATGGTTATAATTATGCACATTGTATTTCTGCCCAAAGCCCTCTCGCCACGTAATTTTCTCATTATTATCATTTTGTATTTGGATTGTTATTCAGATTATAAGGGCATGTTTGCATTGTTTACAGCTTTTTTGGATTTTTTCTTTGCTAGTTATATGGGCTGTTACCCTCATATATTGGAGCATTTTTGTACAGCAACAAAGGTTGGGTTGGACTGATCGGAACCGGCTTTCCTCCTCTTTGCTGAGATGGTTGGGGTGGCATAGGGGTCCAATCTGCATTTGTCTTTCCCACCGTTGTCCCAGCCTTCTAATTCCCTCTTCAAAAAAGCTGTCTACATTTGGTGTTGTTTTCACACCTCAACGGAGCTAGTATACTTTTGCACGTCCACATATGTTTATCATGTTCTTGTGGCGGCTCCACTGTCATTGTACCTCCCCACTGCTTTAAAAGAATCTTCTCCAATGTTCAAACAAGCATAGAGAAAGACAGAGTCACAGCAGCATGAAACTGATTTAAAAATGCAATTGCAGATTCTACCAGGGTTGCCAGGTCCGGCTTGGAAAGTAGCTGGAGACTTTGGGGGCAGATCCAGGAGAGGGTGGGGTTTGGGGAGGGGAGGGGAGGGGCCTCTACAGAGTCCACAGAGTCCACCCTTCAAAGCAGCCATTTTCTCCAGGGGAGCTGATCTCTGTCAGCTGGAGATCCATTGTAAAAGCAGGAGTTCTCCAGGTCCCACCTGAGGGCTGGCAGCCTTAGGGTGGCATCACCATGCCTCCTCCCGTAACTCGTTGGATGGACTATTGGGATCGGACCCAGCCCTACGTGGAGTAAATACGGGAGTTCCTTTGACTCTGCTGCTCTCACACCGATTTGCGTTGAATACCAGGCCTTTGCCCAGGGTTCATACCAGACCAGGAAGGTAGAAAGGGACATCCATTTTTTTAAAAAACAAACAAGCGGCAGGTAAGCAGACCTAGTTTTGAGACCGATGGAAATGGATACAGAGCAGACATTTAAACAGCAGGTCAAAAACTAGTAGCCAATAGCATAATGCCCCTATATAAATCAATGGTGCGACCTCATTTGGAATACTGTGTACAGTTCTCGTCACCACCCCTTAAAAAGGATATTATAGCTTTGGGAAAAGTGCAGAAAAGGGCAACTGGAATGACAAATGGGTTGGAACACTTTCCCTATGAAGAAAGGTTGAAGCGCTTGGGGCTCTTTAGTTTGAGAAACGACGGCTGAGGGGTGACATGATCGAGGTTTATAAGATTATGCATGGGATAGAGCAGGTAGAGAAAGAGGTAGTTTTCTCCCTTTCTCACAATACAAGAACTCGTGGGCACTCCATGAAATTGCTGAGCTATCGGGTTAGAACAGATAAAAGGAAGTACTTCCTCACCCAAAGAGTGATTAACATATGGAATTCACTGCCACAGGAGGTGGTGGCGGCTACAAGCATGGGCGGCTTCAAGAGGGAATTAGATAAGCATATGGAGCAGAAGTCCATCTGTGGCTGTTAGCCACAAGGTATAGATAGGGACTCTGGGGCAAGTGATGCTCTATGTTCTTGGTGCTTGGGAGGGCTTCTAGTGTGCTGTGGGAGGGCTTCTAGTGTCCTGGCCCCACTGCTGGACCTCCTGATGGCACCTGGTATTTTTGGCCACTGTATGACAGAGTGTTGGACTGGATGGGCCATTGGCCTGATCCAACATTGGCTTCTCTTATGTTCTTAGTAGAACAAATGTTCTCCTACTGGGTTTCGAACTGCCATTTAAATGGCTTTTTTGTATCTATTTCCATCTGTCTCAAAACTAGGTCTCATTTGCTTACCTGCTGCTTGTTTTCCAATAAGCTTTCCAAGTGAAGCTGGGGTTTACCAGCAATCAAAAAAATCACTTCAAAGGAAGATGTTAGCTTGAAATTGCTGAATTAGAATATAGATCAGCAAACTCCATTTTATTCGTTGAGAGCTCACTCGGCCTGCAGTTTCTCTACACTGCATAAATTAAATCAGCATAGCAGAACTATGAAAATCCTGTTATCAGTTCTCCCCTCCTCCTTGACATTTCTGCCTGAGTATAAATACATATAAATACATATGTAGAATGAGCCAACACTTCATGTAAGTAATTAGACTAGGATCTGGAAGACCTCAGTTATAATCCCTGTGTCACTGGATTGCTATGGGAAGTGGTGGCACAGGCAGCTAATGCCTGCAAGTAACAGCACTAGCGAACAGCCACTATGGCTGTTCGAGTCCACCGCGGCCAAGGTGAGCTCCTGGCCCTAGTCCCAGTTCCCGCCCACCCAGCGGCTCGAAAGTGTCTCACGAGTAGACAAATGGGTACTTGCCCTAGGTGGCAGGGAGCACCCACCTCCTGATGGGGTGTGCCAGGAGTGCGACGGCGGAGTGATGGCGGCGGCAGAGACAGGCTGAGGACGTGGCGACGACGGTTGGAGGCGGAGCTGTGATGACGCAAGGACGCAGCACAGCGGAGCCTGACGGACGTTAGCCGAGCTGCACCCGGAGCACCCGCGCGCCAAACAGAATACCAGCTGAAGCCTGCCGAGGATGCTGTCGGCTTGTCAGCCCACCCGAAGCGCTAGAACTAACATCAGAAACCGTCCGGAGAAGAAGCAACAGAAACGCATGCTGCTGGGTGCTGGTAGGCAGCCCCCCCCCCCAAATGAATTGTGGCCCTAGATTAGGTATAATTGGTACATATCCTCTGTAAACCGCTCTGAGACCCTCTGGGGCCAAGGGCGGTATAAAAATTGAAACTATAAATAAATAAATAAAATAAAATGGATGTGAGAACCACATTGAATTCCTTGAAGGAAAAGCAGGATTAAGAACTCTTTTTTTTTTTTTAATCTCCGAAGGGATATTTTTATTTTTTGCAATAAACTACAAAACTACAAAGAAAATTATTAGGAAGGGAACTACATCTAGGGATAAAGAATCGATAACCACACTATACTAAAACCCCAAGAGGAGATCTTTTCCTTGTTAGTGTATGTGTTAATGCCATAGTGTTAGTATCACAATATACTTGTAGAGTTCTTGTTTATCTCAGCTTCAATGTTTATGTGTTAATATGTTAGTTGTTATGAGAGAACTTTCTGATCGTCGTCTTGTTCTTTGCTTCAAAAGGCTATTTTCTGAGTCCTTCTGCCTTTACTTTGGCTTTCTGTCTCTAAAGTCATATACAACTCTGGCAGTACCTGCTTCCGTTTCTGCAGCAGAGTCCTCTTCCGTTCCAGAGGTGGCAGAGTCACTAGATTTTGTTTCCTCCTCCTTGGACTCTTCCGCCGTTCCCAACTGGTGCCGCAAAAACTCTTTAGCTTTGAAAGTGGAGTCTATCTTCTCTCTTTTATCGTTGATCTTAAAGATGACACCCTCCGGAATCGCCCACCGATACAAAATTCCATTAGTTTGAAGGAAAGCTTCGGATTTCAAATGGAATGTCTTTTAAGGTTTTGATGGTTATATTTTCCATTTTCAGTGGAGTTGCTGATGTCGCTTTTAAGATAGCATCTCTGGTCTGTCTTCTTGAGAATCTGACCACGATTTCTCCAGGCAGGGTGTGTGTTTTTTAAAATATAATTGGAGTGTGCCCTATAGGCCATCTCCATTTCTTTTACCAACTCATCCGCTGTTAAGCCTATTGCTGGAGCGATGATCTCACTAAGCAACCTCCTCAGGTCCTCCGTCTCTGCTTCAGGAATTCCCTGGAACCTGAGAATCATATTAGCTTTTTCCATCTGTAGTTGCAGCAAACGGCTTTCTTGGAAATTTTGCTTTGTTTCAACTTCTCCCATTATTTTCTTCAATTTCTTACTTGTGGTATCTAGCTCTTTAATTTTCTCAGTTGCCTGCTCCACTTTCTTCTCTGTTTCTTTCCGCTGGAGCTGCTGAGATGCAAAGTTCTTATTCATCACGGTCACTTGCTGGTTAATACCATCGAGTTGCTCCATCGCCGGCTTGAGCATATACGCTAGCATTTTAATGACGTCTGCTCCCTCTTCCGGTTTTGGGCTCTGTCTGCCCAGCGGTTTCGTTTTCAGCTTTCTTTGCTGGGCTGCCATTTTCTCCGAGTTGTTTACAATTTCTAACGCTTCTTCGTGGCTTGAAAAATCGCCCCATGATGACGGTAGTCAAGTAAGTCTCTCAAAACACACTCGTTATGTTTCCTCCCCTCTCCCCCTTCGTATCGTTTATCAGTTCATTCACATAAGAGGCGTCCCTCTTTGCGTCCGCTTTTACAATAATCCAGTTTATTCTGAACTCACGTTCATTGTCAGTCAGTTTCTCTGACCTCGCTCACTTAAATGCCATTCCACTCGATCTCCAGCGCTTGTCCCAGTCAAACCAGCTAGTGTCCGAAGGCCATGCAGTGTCTGGACCGTCAGGGCGGAGGGGAGCCTCAATTCTCTGGCATTATGCCATCGAAGAGGCTAGCCCTCAAAAGCCCTCTGGCCTGGAGCCTATCACAAAGGCTCCGTGGGGGTGTCACTTGAGGTGGCACCCCTCCAAGGCGCTGGTGTGTGGATCGCTCTCCCGCAGTTCGGGGAGAACGTCCGTCATCGCTGCTCCATAAACCGGAAGTCAGCATGAAGAACTCTTGATTGAATTCTAAGTCAGGAAAAAGTATGCCTTCTTTCTTTCTTTCTTTCTTTCTTTCTTTCTTTCTTTCTTTCTTTCTTTCTTTCTTTCTTTTGCCTTTAAGGTGCCAGTGGACTCCTGTTTAATTTTGCTGTTAAGTCACTGTACTTACCTGTTATATTTTAGGTTTGCATTAAAAATTCACTCTTGCATTTCATTACTTTTTGTTCTCACAATAATCCAGTCATTGGGGTCACAAAAGGCTTTTGTCAACTATATTCCGCAGGGTGGATTTGATTTAATCTAATCAATTTCAA